TTGTGTACAGGTGAGGAGAGGGAGGGAGGGAGGGGATGAGGAATGGAGAAGAGTGGAATGGGGGAGGGAGGGAGAGAAAGCAGGGAGCTGATGGTGGAACAATGCACTGACGAGAAGTTTGGCAAACTGAAGGAGAGCACGGAGGATGGGGTACATGTCTGTACAGGTGAGGAGGAGAGGGAGGGAGGGGAAGTAGTTCTCAAAGGAGGGGGTACATGTGTCTGTGTACAGGTGAGGAGGAGGGAGAGGGAGGGGGAGTAGTTCACAAAGGAGAGGGTACATATGTCTGTGTACAGGTGAGGGAGAGGGAGGGGGAGTAGTTCACAAAGCAGAGGGTACATATGTCTGTGTACAGGTGAGGAGGAGGGAGGGACGGGGAGTAGTTCACAAAGGAAGGGGTACATGTGTCTGTGTACAGTACAGGTGAGGAGGAAGGGAGGGACGGGGAGTAGTTCACAAAGGAGAGGGTACATGTGTCTGTGTACAGGTGAGGAGGAGGGAGGGAGGGGGAGTAGTTCACAAAGGATGGGGTACATGTGTCTGTGTACAGGTGAGGAGAGGGAGGGGAAGTAGTTCACAAAGGAAGGGGTACATGTGTCTGTGTACAGGTGAGGAGGAGAGGGAGGGAGGAGGAGTAGTTCACAAAGGAAGGGGTACATGTGTCTGTGTACAGGTGAGGAGGAGAGGGAGGGAGGAGGAGTAGTTCACAAAGGAGAGGGTACATGTGTCTGTGTACAGGTGAGGAGGAGGAGGAGGGAGGGGGAGTAGTTCACAAAGGAGGGGGTACATGTGTCTGTGTACAGGTGAGGACAGGAAAGGACAGTTCCAATCATCATTCTGATCAACCGTTGAGTTACAATCATCATTCTGATCAACCATTGAGTTACAATCATCGTTCTGATCAACCATTGAGTATTGAGTTACAATCATCTTTCTGATCAACCATTGAGTATTGAGTTACAATCATCTTTCTGATCAACCATTGAGTATTGAGTTACAATCATCATTCTGATCAACCATTGAGTTACAATCATCATTCTGCTCAACCATTGAGTTACAATCATCATTCTGATCAACCATTGAGTTACAATCATCATTCTGGTCAACCATTGAGTTATAATCATCGTTCTTATCAACCATTGAGTTACAGTCATCATTTTGATCAACCTTTGAGTTACAATCAGAATACCGAGTATGTATCTAGCTTATCATTATTACATATTATTGTTTGTACTACAGTTCATTTATATTATGCATGTGACTGTGAGCCTGTTTGTGAGTGCAAGCATACTGCGTGTGTGTACCTGTTTGCATGTGTGTGTGTCTGTTTGTTTGTGTCTGGGTGTGTGTGTGTGCGTGTATGTGTGCACGTGGTGAAACACGAAACCAGTGTGCCAGGATCTGGACAATATAGATGTATCTTATCGTATCGTACTACACCCAAACCCCGCCCCACACATCTCTCAACATTTGCAATCATTTTGGGCTTATCGCCCC